AAAAAGATGACAAATCAATTAAGTGATTTTGTGTTGCTTTTTTACCATAGAATGTTGTCTGTAATCACACACAGGCAGAAATTCACCTGAACAAAAACATGTAAATCCATCTACATACAGCACAAAAAGCACACACACATCACAATACTTTTGTGAATGTAATCAAAATAGTTTTGATGGAATTAAAAATAAAAACATGCAAACAAACTTACATTTCTGAACCCCTGGTCTGGTCCTGCACTTTCCACTGTGGTCCACACTATAGCAGAAGCAGAATGACATAGTAATGCTGTATCTATTTATTTAATTGTTGCATTTTCTCCACATACACCTGTCTGTAGCAGGGAGAGACACACATTCTGTACTCACTTCAGTTTCTCCAGTTTACAGCTGGAATCCTCCAGGAGAGCGGAGAGCAGCTTCACTCCTAAGTCTCCTGGGTGATTGTAGCTCAGATCCAGCTCTCTCAGGTGTGAGGGGTTTGACCTCAGAGCTGAAGCCAGGGAAGAACAGCCTTCTTCTGTGACTCTACAGCCTGACAACCTGCAGAGAGACAGACAATAACTCTCCAATAAATAAAAACACCTCACGATGAGATGTATTACTTTTATGCAAATGTGACGACTCCAATAAAGATGTTAAGTATTAATTTACACTGTGGAATACCCTGTAATACTGACCTCAGTATCCCCAGTTTACAGTGTGGAATACCCTGTAATACTGACCTCAGTATCCCCAGTTTACACTGTGGAATACCCTGTAATACTGACCTCAGTATCCCCAGTTTACAGTGTGGAATACCCTGTAATACTGACCTCAGTATCTCCAGTTTACAGTGTGAATCCCCCAGTCCAGCAGAGAGCAGCTTCACCCCTGAATCTTGCAAGTCATTGTCACTCAGGTCCAGCTCTCTCAGCTGAGAGGAGTTTGATCTGAGAGCTGAAGCCAACACTTCACAGCATGTCTCTGAGAGTCTACAGCTATTCAGGCTGGAAAAGGAATCGTGTTTAGATAAAAATACATACAGCACACACAGGTATATAAAAAAAAAAAATCAAAATAAACACAAAAGTACAAAAAGAGAAGCAACATATAATTCAAAAGGAATGTTCCTCATATTCCCTGTCATGAAGAATACAGTGAAAACTTTCAATTCAATAAACAAATATCATGAACAGTTTAGTGGATCAGGGCTAGATCAATGTACTCAAATGAGCAGATTTTGGAATAATGCGGCTGCTCCTTTGAGTATACTGTGTATTTGGCTACTTGCTGTACATTTTCATAAGTCATACATTCCCAAATCCTGTTTTATATTGTGTCACAGAGCCAGTTTGAATAAGGGCAGAAGAGAGAACATGCTCTAAAATCCATTCATTAAATGGGAAACATAATTATATCAGTTGTCATTTCCCTGTCCTAGTCAGAAAGACAAAGTTTGTACTTGAGACTCCCCAGCGAAGACCAAACTGCTGTGTAATGACCTTACAGGGTGAGTTACCCTGAGACACTGTAATATATGCATAAGTATTTTTATAAAGCTCTGAGCAGCGCTGGGGCTCAGTGATCAGCACTACAGCCGACCCAGGGGTTCTAGGGTCAGATCCTTGCTGGGGTGTGTGTGTGTTCATGTGGGATTTGAACAGTCTCAAGGAGAGCTAAAGTTTTTTTAAATTATTATGTTTTATATGACTTTTGAATCTCTGACATCATGACTAAAATCCTTATTTTCTGTATTGCTATAAAAAAAGTGATAGGTTTTCCATTAACATCTTTTGTGTGACAATCAAGAAGCAAAATTATACAGAATGTTTCTGTATATATTTCAGACAATGCTAAGCTATTTTTGCCAGTACAGACGTGTCCTCACATCCTCAGCAAGGCACAGATGAGGCCATCAGAGACAGCAGTCTTCAGGAAGCTCCTAGATCTCAGCTCCATCACATGAACACACAGGCTGACAATATCACTCACAAACCACTCATGAACCTCTATATAAATGCACCCTAATTGTTTTGATAAAATATAAAAGCAGTATCATGAATAACATCCATACGTCTTTAGCAACAGATGTATATAAAATCACTTACAGAGCTGTCCTAGATTTCTTCATCACAGGCAGCAGCCTCTGAAGACCTTCATCTGATCTGATGTATTTCTTCAGATCAAACACATCCAGCTCCATATCTGACATCAGTAACACAAAGGCCAGAGCTGACCACTGTGCAGGTGAGAGATCTGCTGCTGAAAGACTTCCTGAACTCAGGTATCTTTGTACTTCCTCTATTAGAGAAATGTCACCCAGTTCATTCAGACAGTGGAACAGGTTGATGGTCCTTTCTGGAGATAAATTCTCCTGTATTTTCTCCTTGATGTATTGGGCTGTTTCCTTAATGTTATGTGAGCTGGTTCTTGTCTGGCCCAGTAGCCTTTCTAACAGAGTCTTACTGGAGTCTGTTGAGAGGCCCAGGAGGAAGCGGAGGTAGAGGTCCAAGTGTCCATTCTTGCTCTTTAATGCCTCATCCACTGCAGTCTTCAGCAGGTCAGCCGATGAGTTTGATAAAAACATGTATAAAGCAGCGAGATACTCCTGAATGCTCAGATGCACAAAGCAGTACACCTTCTCCTGATACAACCCATACTCCACTTTAAAGACTTCTGTGCACACTCCAGAGTAAACTGAAGCCTCTGTGACATCAATGACATTCTCTGTCAGATCTTGCTTGTAAAATATGAGATTGCCTTTCTCAAGGTTATGAAAAGCCAGTTTACCAAGATTTAAAAGGAATTCCTTATCAGATTCAATGCGTTTAAGCTTGGTTTCACCTTTTTTCATATACTTGTCATTTTTTAAACTCGCCTGAAAGATCAAGAAGTGTGTGTACATTTCTGTCAGGGTCTTTGGAATTTCTCCACTGTCAGTCTCACTAAAAAGCCTCTCAAGAACAGTGGCTGAAATCCAGCAGAACACAGGTATGTGGCACATGATGAAGAGGCTCCTTGATGATTTCACATGTGTGATAATCCTGCTAGCCAGGCTCTGATCACTAAATCTCCTCCTGAAATACTCCTCCTTCTGGGCATCACTGAACCCTCGTATCTCTGTTACCCGATGGACACACTCTGGAGGTATCTGATTGGCTGCTGCAGGCCGGGAGGTTATCCAGAGGAGAGCGGATGAAAGCAGATTCCCCTTAATGAGGTTAGTCAACAGCACATCCAGTAACGTTTTCTTTGTTACATCAAAGCAGCTCTCATTGTTCTGAAAATCTAGAGGAAGGCGACACTCATCCAGACCATCAAAGATGAACAAGACTTTGTACCTAAACAGCTCAGCTGATTCAAGCGATTTCAGTTCTGGGACAAAGTGGTGAAGCAGATCAATCAGACTGTATTCATCCTTAATCAAATTCAGGTCCCGGAAAGGAAGAGCAAATATGAAGTGAATGTCCTGGTTTGCTTCTCCTTCTGCCCAGTCAAGAATAAATTTCTGCACAGAGACTGTTTTCCCGATACCTGCGACCCCTTTAGTGAGTACAGTTCTGATAGGTGTCACATGCCCACATAAGGGTTTGAATATATCATTGCACTTGACTGTAGTATCTTCTGTTACCCTTTTCTGTGATGCTGTTTCAATCTGTCTCACTTCATGTTCATCATTAATTCCTCCAGTTCCCCCTTTAGTCATGTAGAGTTCTGTGTAAATCTCATTGAGAAGTGTTGGCTGTCCTTCCTTAGCTTTCCCTTCAAATACACACTCAGATTTCTTCTTTAGGTTACATTTGATTTGGTGCTGACATTGTGACAGAAGATGCCCTGAAATTAAATGAGAGAAAAATGCACAAACTTATTTTAAAACATGCATTTTTTATCCATATAAGCCAAATTAAATTAATTAAACAATAAACTGAAATGTAATACACATTTTTCATAAACAATGTTTTGTGGCATAACACACACTGAATGAGGTACAGCTCTTACTCTTCTCCAGCATGTTAGCGAGATCATTTTGCTCCATGGTCCTCAGGATGTACAATGTGATCTTCAGAGCTCCCTCTCTACCACAGGTCTTCTGCATCTGACCATCACTGTCCAGGTCACTGTCCTCCTCCAGCTGAGGCTCAGAGCATTCTGGGTCATTCTGATCCAGGTACCTTTTGAATTTCATCAG